TTGTTCAATAAAGGTTTAAAAATTTGTTTGAAGAATATAATAGAAAAACATTTCTGTTTAGTATCAACGTGTTGGATGCTTCATTACATTAATTAAATTACACTCGACACCTTGGATGAATAGAATTTGGGACAATCATAGTCGTGGATTGAATATTCAAGTAAACAATGATTACAATCTACTGCCACCAACTCCTCCTAAGAAAATAATATTAAAAGATATTGGTATAAGATCACCATTGAATTTAGTTCCTGTTTTATCTTCTTTATCATCTCAGTCAATAACGAAGAAGAGGCCGGCACCACCACTAGCATTGAACTTGGTTCCTGTTCGATTTTCTTCATCATCTCAGTCAATAATAAAAAAGAGAGCGGCACCGCCACCACCAACTAATTCAAGAGCCAGCTCCAACACTTATTATGACTTTAAGAACAACAATTGAATATTTACATATGTGTACACGTCAATGAAAGACAATAGACATACTTCCATCTTGTTTTATGTGTATTTGTAAAACACAAATTAGATGTGAGATTATTGTTTATATTAAATGTAATTATGCAAAATAAAAACAAAAATCATAGAAGAACTTTTTTTATATTTTCCGAAAAAAGAATATTAACAGTTGTAGGTCTCGAAGTGCGGTAATGACTGGGGTATAAATATCCTTTGTTTTGTATTATATTATTATAAGAAATACTACACGTTACCAATAAAGCAAGTGCTTCGTTGTTTTTTCTATGAAGCATCATGTTCTTGTGTTAATTATCGAAAGGTAAAAGATTAATCTGGCTTGGTAGATACTAATGCCTTGTTATCGAGTTCTGTTTGGTTCACTCAGATAGATAAATAAACGTTGAAGATCGAATAAAGAAATATTCGATATCAATGAACAGGAATTGCTAAAGGAAGATCACTATACTTCTTAATAGATTATTGTACTACATATATAAATAATTGACGATAACTTCTAACCTTACACGACGAAAACGAGTTACTTGCACCGAAAATATCAATAAACATGATCATTAACAGGTATATTTGAAAAAAAACCTCAAAGGTTCAAGAACGGCATCGTTCTACGCGATCTGATTCATCTAATATCTATACAGTCTTTTCGTATCAAATGATAAAGTCAATCACCCATAACTGAGCTTAATTATATTTCAGGAATAACTTTTTCAGTAAAAAATTCTTTTTAATTCACATTGAAGTATCATTCGTCCAGAAAAGTGTAAGCGAATCTGTAAGATGAACGCTATTTTATAATTACAATCGAGATTATTTTAAACTATAGTCATACTAAACTTTCCTTCAGAAAAGGGTCAGCGAATCCATAGGATGAGCGTTACTTGTTAATACATATACAGATAAAACAGTACACGTAAATGTATACCTGTTCAGATCCACATGTATAAAATTTGGATACAAGTTGTATCTGTATCCACGCACCCCTCTACTAATTCGTCCACAAAATCATCATTTGTATCAAGATTAACTGCAGCATAATTAACACATAGATATGGTGCAGGTTCTTCGTTAAATGAATCATGTAACATATGTTTACGAAAATGAGTAATAAAAGAATTTAAATTCGTAAAAACAAATTTTGAATGACATAGAGGACACGGTGTACCAAACTGACGATCATTTACATGTACTTGTCGAATATGACGTATATATCCATTATTTCCATTAACATTAACGAAACAAATTGAACATTGTTGAACACTATTAATAGACATGAGGAAAACTCAAAATAAAAAATTTGTTAAATGAATTAATAAAACATTATATAGTTGTGATCCTAAAAATGTGAAGAATAAGAATTTTCAACTGATGACTGATCGTTTTACCATCATATTTCCATATAAAATATCGATCACAAATGTGAAATGTATAAGAAGTTGTTTTTTTTATTGAATAAGAGTCTTTAAATTATCTAGAAGAAAAAAAAGAAATGATTGCGCAATATGTATAGATGATAGTCTACCAGTAAGACGGCAGTTGTACTTATTACGAACGAATAAGACGACGGTAATGCTCACTATAAATAAAGAAGACAACAGATATGACGTCGAAACGAATCAAAATCAAAATAAAACAAGAATGCACTGACTAGAACGAAGCGATAATATAATGTAAAGAAAAGAAACAATATAATGAGAATAAAATAGAAATACATAGTAGATGAAAAAATTATTTACCTTTGAATAAAACTTAATTTAAGTTTTGAAACTCACGGAAGAAAAATGTAATACTTTTTCTCTGTAACGATAAAAAAAGTCTTCATTATATTCAAGTTATTTTTTAGATAAAGCAAATGATTTATATTTTGAAGAAAAATAAAAAATGATTGAAGAATTACAACCATAGCTAAAACATAGTTTTTTTAATTACTAAACATGAAGATTAATATATGCCAAGTCATTTTTCTTTAGTTTAAAAAATAGATCATCCACAAACATGAATAAATGAGGTCAGAGTTGAGCAGAGTGGACAAGCATTCTATTTTTGATGCATGCTTTTCTCTTGATATTGATTTTGATTTCATATGAGAAGTATTTAGAACTAATATATTATATATATACAAATTAATTCTGCTTTTATTTAAACAAGTAACGCTCATCCGAGGACTCGCTTCGCTCTTTCTCGTTGAAATGCATTTCCTTCACATTTAATGGAAGAATAAATAAAAACCGTGAAAAATTGATTTTCGGTGGTTTTTTGACCTTTCACGCATCCTCTCCCACCCACCTCATTATGATCACCCAATAGGTCTCAAATTGGAACTCTCCGCATTGGAAAACCACTAGAAATGTCTTTTCGAGAAAATCGAGTTTTGAATGTTTTTTTGACCTTTCACCCACACCCACCCACCCACTCCTAGCCCTGGTCACCCAACAGACCTCAAATTCTAACTCCCCGCATCGAAATACCACGAGAAATGTCTTTTCCAGAAAATCGAGTTTTGAATGTTTTTTTGACCCTACGGACATACAAGCAAGCAATCAATCAGACAATTTATGTGTACTCGACTCTTCTCTACGAGAAAGAGAATAGCTAAAAATGAACTAGAAATTAAAATTCAAAAGTGAAAGGCCTTTATATATAATCTTGATATGAATTAGATCACAAAATAAATAATATATTACGTGTCCCATATGATAATTAATTGTATATATTAATTTTAAAAATTAGTGAAAAAAATCATGCCAAATTAACAAAATGATTTTCTTGAAATCGGAATTGATTTTCATATTTTATTTAAAATCAATATTAATTTTCTATTTTGCAGGGAATAATTTTTTTTGAAAATCAACTTGAATTTCTACAAATT